CATATTTCTTTTGTGTATTTTTGTTTCTCCTTTTTTTCAGTTTTCTTTCAATAATTTCCAATTATAGATTGAAATAATTTTGTAGCCAGATATTTTTAGAGGTATAGAGTGGGTGGGCATTCATTTCCCACAAAAAAGCGATTGCGGAATCACAATTACTGGTGCGTGATCATGAATACGAGTTCCGCATTTATTGTAAATGGTGAATAGCGAAGTCTCGTAAATATAATAACATCTAATGTACTTTATATAATTACTCGCCATATGCGTGTATCAACAAGCGACGAACCATACCGAGAAACATACAATTTCACTTAGGCGTGATAATAATTTATTTCACATCATTGATGTATATCACCAAGAATTATGATATATTTATGCAGATAATAATTCGAATATGTAAAAATACTTTGCATATATGCATGTTATGTTGCGTAAGATACGTGTTTCCAAGTGATATTATTAATTTAGAATAACGTAATCAACTATGTCAAGCGCATCTAGCTAATTACATAGATACATGAGATATGTAGTCAGGAAGCAATTTGATAGAAATATCTACAGGCAGGAAACATTCGTAAAATAAAATTTTTCACTGGATGCGTAATACAATCAAACTAATAAACAAATCTCCATTTCTATTAATTAATTTATTACTTGACTTTAATTCAATTTATTATTTATATGTAAACCCATGAGACACTAACTTTATTTATAAAATTTTACGATTAATAATTTTTATATGCAATTTCCAATTTATTTCTTTAAATATTTTAAATCATATTTTGAAATCAATGAAATATTTAATATTAAAAGCTTATTTAAAGCAAAAGAGAAGGCTTATTTCTTTTTAAAAAAAAAACAACATTTAATTGATAGTAAAATTTAAATCTTTCGGTAGACCAAAAATATTCTGTATAATTTATATCTATAATCTTGTGCAATTGCAAGAAAATTTATGTTTAATTTTTTTTCAGTGTTTATTACAGTAATAGTTCAATAATCATTCATCCAGTGTGTTCAACGTGGTAGAATTATCTACTCTATTGCTTCGAGTAATTCTAATTACTTAGAAATAACAGCTATAGACATGTAACATCGACTTTTGTATGTATTTAATTTTTGTCAAAAAAATACTGTATGTATTTCACTAAAACTATTATATTAAATATTATTAATACATAAATTTAGAAAATAGGAATAATTTACAGAAATATTAAAAAAAAATAGATAATATATAAATTAAAAAAGTATAAATATATAATAAAAGCAAATTCAAAAATATTATTCAAAATTAAATCATTTTAAAAAAACAAAATTTTTCATATCTAAAAAATATTTTCTAATAGATTTTAATTCATCTTTTTGTTGCAATATTCTATAGCGTTGTCTTTGAGTAAGTATTTTCTTTAACCAAGATACTTTTATGCCTAGAATTTACAATGAATCAATGTCAACTATTAGTAAACTTACAATACTTCTTTTGTGTTAATACTAAGGTGAATCTTGTGGCTGCATACCGAATAACAGTGTCTTTGAGTGAGAATAATACTTGCGTGTCTTTTAAAAGAGACGCGAAACATCACGTATAATCGTCGTTGGAAATTCCCAAGGGAGTGGCTGACACGTTTAATAGATTAGGGTTTAGCTGCATATAAACAATACTTTAATATTCTATCAAACCATTTGAAGACATCAAGATGTCTTCTATTCCCGACAGAGAATAAATAGTCTTCAAACATGTTTATATTAATATTTTTCTACTTATTTAATAAATACTGTACACATGCCCAAAATTCGAATGATCTAAATAAACATCTAAATAAAATCATCTTTCCAAGAAAAGTTTTGTTAAAAATGTAATGTGGATTTTTCCTTTCAGATATGGATTTCCTATGTACATTTGTAGGAAATCCGTATTTAAAAAAAAGCGAAAAGTTTGTTGATCTTTCGTATATATACGATAAAATAAGATAAAAAAAGTCAATTTCGACGTGGCGTCCCAAGATGGATTTTCTATCGAGTACTATATGCTGACGCATATCATTTACATTAAACAGTGACGTTTCTGATAGTTGGAATTTCCGCTTCATAATCAAACAACTAGCTATTTTTACAATTATGCTCTATTGAGCCAATTTTTCTTATGCTTATCAGTTAGTAATGCATATTAATATCTATACATATTTCCTATGCGAAGATGTATTGTCAGATGACATTTGACACATTTCGTGCTCTGGAACGTTTCAAATTTCTTCATTAATATTGTACTAAAAATAACATAATATAATTTTGTTAAATTTATTTTAATATGAAAATTAAATTCATTATTTAATTTTACATTTAAATAATTTAGTTTTATAATAGTTTAGTTTTATTTCTTACAGAATATAAAGACGAGTATAACGACAAATTAATTGATCCATTTATTTTAATAAAATTTCTTTTGTATTAATTATTTTTTATAAGAATATTAAAGTTTCTTATTAATAATCATTACATCTATATCAATTAATAATCTTAATTAAAAAGTTACTTTAATTGATCAAAATATTCATAATTATTATTAATTAACGTAAATTTATAAAGCAAAATTGAAGGAAATTACTGTATATTATTTAAATATTAAAAATTTATATAAATTTAGCTTCCTTATTAAATACATGATATTTATTTTATTCGATTGCCCTATTTCATATTATATTTGTAATCTTTAGACATTATCAATTCATTAAAAAAAAAGACACCCACTCATTTACCAAAAGCTGCTTCTAGACAAGAGTTGATCCTGAAGGCCATATGTAAAAGTAAAATCATCATGAATAGTTTATATGAATAGTATAGCTGTTTTCATATCTTCTTTGATTTATGTACACAGTAGATAATGTATTCTATCAAAAAATACTACCATATTTTATTCTTGAGTGGAACACTTCTCAATAATTACGACACACAACGTAGTTATTAATAATTATGGAAATTATTGAAATAAAACCTTAATAATGAGAAATCTTTGTGTGAAAGAATAGTGTATTTTTAATTGTTAATTGATAAGCATTGGTAATTAATAAATAAAGAACAATAATTATGTCAATTAGTCTTAGAAAAGCAGAGTACTGCTCCAAAATTTGGTTATTGTTCGTGAAAAACCCATAATATTAATTATTAAAATTTCTAAATTATTATACTTTTGTAAATTGCAATAATTTTATTGCATTTTATTGCATTTATTCTGTTACTGTCTCTTACCAACAATTGAAAATCATTTTAGAAGAGATTAATCCAGTGGTCTCATTTTTTTACAATTACATATAAGTTATATATAAAATATCGTATTTTTTTTATATTTTATTATCGGTTTTGTATCAGCAATAAAAGTTTTCTCTACATACAACGTGCCGATATAGAAAGCGTAAAAAAGGATGTATTTATAATATTCTTTGACAGTGCAACGTTTTTTAAGCCAATCGAAATCCGAATAAGTAACAATTAACACCAACCTGAGTAAAAATACGAGAAGAGAAAGCACAGGATAGTATTCGTGAAGTTTTCGAAGCTCAAGTGGGATTTGTCTCGATCGATTTACTTCGACGCTAACGCTTTCGGTGTACCCTGGATATAGGTCAAGTTCAGTTTCACTTAATCGCCTTGTAGAATCGCACGATTCCAATGTCTCTACTTGATGGACGCGAATGTGTCGAGCATCGTGTGGGCACAATCTTCGAAAGCGGTGCTCTCTAGCCGAAAACAGATCCCACTCACTGTGGAGAACACGCGGATACTAACGGGGCACAGGTTCGCCGATCTCTTTTATTGTTAGCCCAACCGACGATGATGTGATGATGACGATGAAGAGCGCGATGAGACGTTAGCGGGGAGAGACGTTAAAGAGTGGCATGTAACACCACGCATAGCTGAATGCAGACACTGACATTGACTCACCGTTCGCGCTTTACTCCTGGTTCGCACAATGCTTTCTTCTCTTAGCGCAGCTGCTTGATACTACCGTTGAAATCGAAATAGAAGCGATTAAAGAATCACTGATAAAAACGTATATTAAAATGAGATTATTTGGACACTGTATGAATGTTAAGCGCAAGGTTCAATAACATTCGTACTCGTTCTGCATAATGCTCGATCTACTTTGTGCTCATGCAGGCACCCTGGTAATGACGGAATAGGGGCAAAGGAATCATTTATCATTGGTCGATTGCGTGTATTTTATGAGAAAACAATTTTCCTGCAAATGATGTCAAACGTTAGATTATAATATCGTAATAACGATAACACGGCAAATAAATTGCGCAGAGACGGGCGATGATAAAGAAATGAGTATCGATTAACAGAGGAAAACTATGATAAAAACTCCATAGATTATTACGTCATAGAAAATTGCAATAAGTTATCGCCGCGTAACGTCGCTTATCAATTGCTCCATGTGTGTACGTGTGTATTTATATTACATACTACTTTCAGAATTCGGGGTAAAACTTATATGATATATTATTTCTGACGATACATCGTTTTTATGAATCATATGTTTGAATTATTTATTTTGTGCACATCACGCCTCGTAGAATAAATGTATCGCGCGATGCGTCAAAAACGTAATTCCCGCCCAGTGTTTGAAGTTCTGCATCAGTGGACTTTTTGTTTTTACTTCCGCTGTGATTGCGGACAATTCACGAAATTTATCTTTTGTTGGGTTGGGAATGAATCAAGCGATTTTAAGACAAAAAAACCACAGATAACGTATTCTTATTTTACATAATAGAATTAGAAAGATATTGAAACTTTCATCGAATCATGCAACAATTTTAAAAGAATGAATTTATCGGTGCAAATATTACTTTATTGTAAAAATTAATATTACATTTAAATACAAAGTTTAATATTAAATATCGAGAAAATGATGCCTTTTCGGAATTTTTTTAAAGATAAATTTTCAAACGTTACATATATTTAATGTTTTTCTCTTATCTTTTTATATTAAAATGTGTAAGGAAATTTATTTTCTAAATTTATATTTGCTTTGATACATGTTATAATCTATATGTATAAAAGAAAATTATATAATATGAAAATTGTTCATAAAAGGATGACAAATGTGCGATTAAAGAAATTTATATAAATATCTATTATCAAAAACCAACTGCATCCTACCTACTGGTAAGCAGAGCGCACTGTCCAAAATTTGCGGTTTCTTTTCTGCGATAAAAGTCGTTCCGAGAGTTCATTAATTGTTTATCTCTATTGATTTTTTATTCGAAAAAATTTTATTGAAAGAAATGTCACTAAAAATAAACTTAGAAAGGGTAAAATGTTTTTCCAAAAAATTATATATAATACTTTATTATTATAATTAATGTTATACAAAAATGTATCGATGATAATTAATAAAAATTTACAAAAATTAATAATATTTTTAAATATGGGAAAATAATAAACTTTCTAAACATATATTAAGTAAATATATAAGTTAAACAAATATTAGAGTAGAATCTCTCTCACTTTCAAATCTCTTTTCACAAATCCCATCCTCATTTTAATGATATATGCAAATGAGAACGTAAAACCTTCGCTTATACTTTCTTGCTTTAACACGTAATCACGATAAATAGCGATGAGTAGCATCAAGAATGCAAATACTGAGTGAAAATCCTAAATCAGAAAAAAGAAGCCAATTCCGAAAAGAGGAAGATCTGGGAGTTGATTACTGTGTACCTTGAAATTGAAGTGGAAATAAAAAAAAATAAGCAAAATTATTTGAATACTTATTATTTTATTGATTAATATCTATAGAATTTGCTAACTTTTGTCATTTTCATCTCGGTTGCGTTTGATTTGGATGCTTTCAACGCTTCTATTGTTTTACGTTTAATCGTCTAATGAATGATAATATAAAGGTACGGTCAATGCGATGCTATAAATGCTTTAAAGCAATTTTTGATTAATCAATTTGTAAAATTCTTTTTTCTAATTGGTCAACCAAACGCTTCAAAGCATTTGTAATGAGACTGATCGCAACCCATGACAGAATGATAAAGTTATATGCGCAAAACGCATGTCTAAATCAA